ATGCTTGTCCAATCTGTTCTTTAAAATCTCCAGTGTTGGAGCATCCACAACTTCTAGAAGCAAGTCCTTCCACTGATTAATTGTTCTAACTATCAGGAAGTATTGGTGGGAACACAAAATAGACAAAACAATGGAAAATAAAGATGCCAAAGTGTTCCGAGATTTAAGAATTCGAAAAGACAAGCACCTGTCACAACACCCAGATTTAATAATCATTTATAAAGACAGTACCTGGAGACAGCAGAACAGAAGAGAAAGAACTGAAGAAAGATCACAAAATACAAAGGCCTACAAATAGAAGTAAAACAACTAGCAAAAAAAGCAAAGATACTATTAATAGTAATAGGCTCCTTGGGTATAACCTCAAAACATCTGGAGCAGCCCTTGAAGACCCTCGGCATTGACAAAATAACCATTGGTCAAGAGCAAAAAGGAACTTGGAACAGCTTACAATACCTTTAATACCAAGGAACGACAACATCTGTTTATCTCAGATCCTTGAGAAGGACTCCATTGGTGGATAAAAATGCCAATTTTAATTTAAACATCTGACCGACTGACCAACCAATCAGAAGAAGGAAGAAAGGAACAATGGTAACATCTAGTTAGTGCTTTTACTAAGGAATAGTGTAAATGTATTTAAATAGATTTTCCATAGTTAATAAATTATGGCATTTCCCAAGATAGCAATGAATTTCCATATCACATAACCATAAATCATAAAGCTGGAAGGGACCTCATAAGTCTTTCAGTCCAAATTCATATCAAATTCATTTTGACATTCCCTAGTAAATTGTCCATTTTCACTTACTTTTAAGGGCTGTGCAAGATGCAGTTTGTCTGCTGTGAAATTAAAAACACTAAGATAAATCATAAATTGTTTCATTCATAGTTAATAGACCCCGAGATTTAAAGGGTGTCTTCTGCTAATAATTCTGGAACTGTGGTCTTCGTTAATTCAAATATTTTTGAATAACAAGAGTAAAGATAAAGGTTATATTTGCTGCAGATGTTTGGAGAGCAAATCAATACCTCATAAGTGTCAATCTTTCCCAAGTGTCTTGGTAAGTAGAAGATTAAAATGTTGGAGTATTTTCAAAGGTGCTGTAGGCTTTCTAATAAAAATCCCTACGTTTCCTTTTTTGTCTGATACAACTTTATAAATTTTTCCCTTTACTATGCTATCACTGCCAAAAATCCAGTTCCACTTGAATCTATATGTACTATTTCAATTTGAAAACACTCTGCTGCAGTCAAAAAACACCCTAGGCCAAATTTCTGTCCTTGGTTACAGCAGTGTATCCCAACTTTGGCCATTTGACCATTGGTGGACTTCAGCTTCCAGTGTTTCCCAACCAATATGCTGACTGGGGAATCCCTGGGCCACACATTTGCAAGTTGCCAAGGTTGAGAGATGCTGGATTACAGGATAACATGTCAAGTTCCCCTCTGCTTAAGTTTCTGATTCCCGGAGAGCCACATCACAAAGCCTAGATCATTTGTTATTTATGAAAGACATAGTGTAACTTGAAGTTCAAAGGTGGTACTGTTTTGTACTTTCGGTTATATTGGATTTTGAAGGGGTTTCTTTTCCCCCTTGCAAGCCTAGATTTAGGCCTCCATCAAAGGTTTCAGATTTGGAGGACTAGAGGCCCACAGATATTTCTTGGGGAATATTTAAGGTAAATGTGCCATTGTTGACATAGGAATGACTTCCTGTTTGCCTTGAACATAAGAGGTAAATTGGACAGGAACCAGGCACCCAGGAATCCAGAACAATAATAAACCACCATGGACCTTCAGTTGGGCAGCCAAGCTTAGAAATAAAGTAGAGATTGGAAATTGTATATGAACCACATATTGAAGCTCTTTTTTAGGAGGCATACATATAACAAGCGGGCTTTATTAGATATGAAGCCTTGATTTTATATTCCATTACATGGATTTATTTTTTTGGTTGCATTATCAGGAGCCTGTTCTCAGTATCTCATTCACTCAGGCTGAATATATACTGAGTATAGAATTGGAATGGGCTATTCGACGACTTCATTTTCCCCCATCAACTGCAAACAGTTGATTTTTGACAGCAAGATTTTTAGTATGTTGTTCAAAACCAGTGGTAGCTGTGGGAATGGAAGACCCGTGACATTACATTTTGCATGAAAGTCATTGTCCATCCCTCGCCCAATCATTCTGAATTGATGGGAGTGCCTAAGAATAGAAATGGAACCAGTTTAACTCCCATTCCCAGTCTTAAAACTATTGCCTAAAATACAAGCATGTGTTGGGGAAGAAAATTCATAATTCCCTTCTGTTGAGGTCACTTTGAAGTCTCCAACTAGCAGAGAAAAGAATGTGTGTGTCTTGCTTAAATGGGAGGTATTTTATGAAACACTTCATAGGACAAGAAATGTAACCATGACTTTTCTGCAATTTTACAAAATGCAAAATTCTGAATTAGTTCCATCAGCTATGTCTAATCTGCCTTGGATTTTCTTGGGTGGTAAGAAATGGAAGGCAGTGTCTGGTCCTTTTGGTACAGCTGGGCCACTGGCTGGCTGCTCATCACAAATTAACATTTTTGAGAAGTCATCCTTTTAATAGTTTTCAGTTGTGGGAAATATACAAGACCATCATTATTAACTAGTCAGGTTCTAGATTCTCCAATGCTTGGAGTTTTATTCTAAGCACTCAGCCTTATTTCCTGAGACAATGCAGAATGTGGCAAGCACACATTTCCCTACTGTTGCTGTGCTAAACTCTTGTCTTGACAAAATCTTTGTAATCTATCAAATGCTTATTCTAATATTGGAACTTCAACTCTACATAAACCAGCATATATGTTAACATTTATGTTGCTATAGTAAGAAAATGACCTGGCTGAGCTTTTTCTTAATCCCAAAAAGAGGATAGGAAATCTTTCAAGATTTTTTTTTCCTGTCTTCTGATGAACAGAGGAAGTTTTTGTAGAGGTATTTTGGTTTGTGTTGAAGAGTTTGATTACCACCAATAGGCACAATAATGTCACCTTCCTGAACATCAGCTTTAAAAAAAAAAAATCAAGGGCAGTCCAGACCTTTTGGGACCACAGAGCTATGGGCAGAGAGGGGAGCATTCCAACTTAGCTAAAGGCAGCCAGTTTCAGAAACCTGCATTACATCGATGTTTTAACCTTCCAGTGTGGTTAGGAAGCTGTTATTTGCAAGCTGGACACCATCTTTGCGGTCCTTGTTTTGTGTCAAGCTGTAATATGTAGTGCTATCTTCTGTTGGGTTTGAATGGGAGATAGAATTTTCCTCCAATTTGCTTCTTCATGAAAATGATCTCCAAGCAGGTGTGTGTTTCAGGAAAGGGCTGGATAATAAATCTTTCTCAGTAATCCTCTGGGCAATCTTGAATGTTATAGTGAGAAGGTTTTGGGACTTTCAGGGATAGATGGGAGTTGGGAGGGAGGATGGGCACATGGTGTAATGGGGCAGTTTGTAATTGCTTGTCAAGGATCCAGTTTGGGTCTCCTGTTGGCAAGACACCTGTAAAATAACGCAATCTGTTTTTGTTTTGTTTTTGGTGGGGGATAATAACTTTATTCTAAACAAGGATAGAGGGTAATTGGGTCAAACAGTTTAAAGAGCTACAGATTTAGCAGCATCTATCTTTTCCTCAAATTCCATTCATGGTTAACTGCAAGTAAATATTTGAAAGTGAGACTCATCTGGTCTTTTTTATTTTGATTCTTCTACAATATCTGTGAATACAAAGCTGGATTTTCCAGCTTTAAATCATATGACAAATTATTCCAGTTCTACTAATATTTACAACAGAAAACTGGCAATTAATTGTTAGTTCAAGCTCTAATGAAACAGGTAAACATTTTCATTTGAGAAAAGGGAATTTTCCAAGTATTTCTGAGCAGTATTGTGATATTTCTGACATGGATTTTAAAACTAATTTCTAATTTAGCTATGTAAACAATTTCTGCCTCTTGTTGTTAGTCCTCAGTGCCTCACTAACTTCTTATTTTTAACTCCTCAGTGCCTTTTTTCCTAATAACCAGTTTCACACTGGATTCTGATGATGAGGCATCTTTTTTCAATTTCAGCTGAATATCCTGCTTTTCCTTGTTTTTCCTTAATGACATTGATTCTTGTCTCAGATAAATAAACTGTTTTGTTTTGCTTTGTTCTCTCTTTAGAGTTCTTGTGGCCATTTTGTGCAAGATGAAAATTATTTCCAACTCTTTTAATAGCTGCTGTCAGGTTATTTAATCACTACTTTCCTCTATCTTTGATTGTATGCCCCAGGCCATTTTATATGGAAAGAGAAAAATAGGTATGAATAGAGAGAAAAATAGATAGCGGCACAGTGGCCTAGAGGTGAAGTCCTTGTCTCCCACTCAGAAAGCTGAGTGATCAATCCTAGGTAGCGGCAGATGTTTCCCTCTCAAGACACAAAGAGAAAATATCTGCTGAAAACTCCACAGGAAGGGCATCCGGCCAGTCAACCCTCAGCTCCATTCAGTCGCTCCGACCCCACTCTGAAGTAAGGGATTAAAAGGGTTGTAGAAAGAAAAAAGAGAGAGAAATAGGTGTGAATAGATTTCAGCCTCTTTTCTATCAGAATTTCAGTCCATTGACTTCTCCCTTGGAGTCAGCCAGACTTTGCAAATAGGTTTCTAAGTGCTAGTTGTGTGAAATCACAGAGGTAGAGAGACAAGCAACTAATGGACTGGAACCTAGTTCTCACATCTTCTGGCCTTCAATTGTCAAAGAGGCAAATGAACCGTTACTACTATCATATAATTCTCAGAATATTTATAGAATTAAGCTTCCCAATGCTGACATGAAACATACAGAAGATGCATGCAAGCTAAATCAGAACTGCATCTGTGCTTCTAAAATGTCTGTAACTGTACTAACAAAAAAAACAAAGATCCTGGAGTGGGTTTTCTAATTTCTCTCCCGCTTTTTCCTTTTGTTTTGTTTTGTTTTTCTCCCCCACAGCTTACTAAGACAAGTCCAGGTGTCAACTGCCTGGAGTCCATTTGTTGCTTCTCCCATGGGGAACCAACCTGCACACCTTTTAGAAGAATGCTGGAGCGAATAATGAGACGGTGCAGCCCCACCCAAGTCAACAGGTGTGGAATTTCTCTGAAATGCCTTTGCTGCAGACAGTTCTCCTATAAACTGGAACACGATGAACCGACAAATATAGATGTCTAGTCCGAGACAGGAAACCATCTTCCTAGGTTCAGTCTGAGATCTTCAGAGAAGATCCAAATTTGTGCTTTGAATGTGGAGGGAATGAGAGATCGTTGCGTTAACTGATTGTTGTTGAAAAACTGGTTGAATTGTGGGTTTTTTTTGTTTTTTTATGACGCCGCCTTTTTTCTGATCCCGTAACTGCTATTGTGCCTTTAGTGGCTGCGATGTTATAAGCTGTCTCAGGCGAGCCCTCCCCTGCTCTTTTCGAGCACCGGCCAGTGATTCACAAGCGTGCTTTTTCTTGCTCTGAGCTCCCTGTCAGCATCATTTTTGCCTTTCTACTTAAATGTGTGCATTTCAATATAGTTTCTCCCCCTCCCCTTGTATGTCTTTGTTTTCCCCTGAAAGTCAGACCCCGGTCCTCATTTCCCTTCCCTTGTGGTTTTAGCTGCTTTGCCTTTTGAACTCAGAAGGCTTGTCCTGTGTTTGATCACTATGTGTCTCCCCTTCTAGACATGTCTCCTTTGAGCTCCAAGGTTTGGGGTTTTCTCCCCTGAAATTTTCACTTTGGGGTGGGGGGAGGAAAGTTTGGTAGGTTTCCTCTATTTCTTGCTCAGCGACTGTGAAAATCAATTATTTTTTACAATACGAAACAAAGCTCATATTTGAGTAAAATAATAATCTAAAGCCATTCCAAATTATGATTAAAAGTAGACCTTTTTTAACGAACACGAAGCCATTCAGAAATAAATGCTAAGCCTATTTATGTGTTCGCTAATTTATACAGGTCTGCTTTTTTATTTTATTTTTTAAAAGATCCTCAACAGGAGGATCAATGAGAACCTTTCTTAATTTACAGAAGGTTCTGTCTTAAAACGGACAAGTGAAAACTCTGTGGAGATGCTCTAGAAAGAGAAGGTTAGGAATGAGGTTTTGCCCAATGTTTCTAATCCCAGGTTACGATTGTTTTCTTCTTTCCTTGATGATATTAGCCATCCTTCTGAAGCATTAGCTGAGAGGACATTGCTCAACCTTGGTCACAATTAAACAGCAGTTTGAGTTGAGATAAGATGAGATCAAGCAAATTATTAGGGCGAGATTCTCAGTTTGGGGGAGACAGACTTGAACAAAGTCCTCTTGGGGGGATACTGCTTTCAAAGGATCAGGAGAAACATCTGAAGATCTTACAGATGGCCCACACAATTTGGGAGTACGGCTACCAGGTCTCTATGGCAAAAAAGCCAGACAACCATTGGATGGAGATAGAGAATTAGTTTTCTCTTTATTTGCTGCTATCCATTGGTCAGCTGGATGTTTGCAGTCCTCATTTAAGGATGCAGTAGCTTTTTACTAGTAGCTAGTTACTTTTAAAAACTGTTGGAAAACTTACTGTGGACACTTCTAAATTGTAATTTTCATGCTCGGCTCCTCTGAATATTTCCTTCTCTCATTGATTTTTTTTCTAAAACAATATCCTCAAATGTGTTAATCCCTCTGCAGCTCCATTTTAAGATTTTACTAAAATGATTGGGGTTTTTTTTCCTTCATAAAATGGGAACTGTTACAAGCCGGATTTAAAAAATAAATAGTAACCGTCTCTCTTTGTAAAGAAAGAAGGCAAGATGTATAAAATAAAATATTTCCTAGACATTTTTAAAACAGGAGCAGTATCTGATTAATCTTAACAGTAGCTTTTTCTCCCCTGGGGTAAAGATTTCTGACAAAAGTATATTTGCACCTCTTGGATATTCTCTACCATTAGAATGCCTACCTGCCACTACTATGATTGGAGTTTGTATGGGATGAGGTCTTGTCAGTGTCAGGGATGCCTTGGCAAGAGGGTATACAGTGTGTCTCTGTAATTCACCATGCAGAGATACTTTTAACTCCCTCCTCTGCATGTTTCAGGATTACTTCAACCCCAGAGGCGTACACATTGCACACCAAACACAGAGCCTTGATCAAACCATCATGGTTGCTGTCTTTACTTTTTAACCAGCCCCTGTGGATAGTCCTACTTCAGCCCCCTGGTCAAAGAGAGCAACCTTGATTGCACCGGAATTTTCATATCAAGCTCTTTCATGTCCACCTTTGAAAATGATTGTTATCCGCCTCATTCTTACATGGGAGAGAGTTATGTTTGTAGTCACTGTTGGGTTGTGTGCATGCAACACATGGGTTCCATTCAGGCAAAAACATAGCACATTCATTCTCATTATATGCTAAGCTTGATTGGTGTAACCCTGGCTAGTCTTTTTCTCTGGTTTAGCATAAGGTGCAGACTGTGATGGAACAAGAGATTGTGAAAATCCACAAAAAGTGATTAAATTAGTTAATGATGGTAAGCATGCAGTCTGAATGCAGATTACTTGCGTTGGAAATTGAAGTTATTTTGAGAGAGGTTTACTCCTATCTCATTAGCCCCATCTTAAGTCATACGACAATATGATACTACATTGTTGGAAATGAAACAAGTAATATATATTCAGAGGTCTGTGCTATCTTGTTCATTGTTTAATATAAAAATGTCACTCAGAGAGAAGTTCACAAGCCCTAGCTATGGTTCTTGAAAAAGGTAGGTATCACCAGCTTCAAAATCAACGTTGAATAAATACATCTTGTGTTTGTTTTTTTAAAAAAAATCTGTTTTCTGTATCTTAACAAATACAAGTATATGATTTGACTCTCATGTTTGATAGAAGATGAAGTACTCCTCCCTCATCTGATCTGCATGCTGATATGTAGAAGACGGATTGCCAAAATAGTACTTTGAAATTCTGCTGGTTTTTCTCCCAATTAGGACAAACTTCTAAATTGTCGTTAATGTATGTTTTAAAATACAAGGTTTAAAATTGTACTGCCTTCCAGGCACATTGAATGGGGTCTAAACTAAAGCATTTCATAATGCAACAATTGATCTAAATGTTAGAACTTGATTCATTAAAATCAAGGATTTAATGGTAATGACAATCTGGGATAATACAGTCATTTCCCAGATTTGGTTGGGACCAAAATTATTCGGACATATAACCCTTTGGAATATAGTTTCCTACCTAAGCAGAATACTAAGAAAGGCATATTTTCAAGGTGCAAAATTCTCACCGACTTTATAACCATTCCTTATGAGCAGGCATAGTTACCAAGGTGACTTAGCCTTATATTTTGATTTGAGAATGTATTAGTCATTTTCCTTGCAATAGTAGCTGACCTGGATAGAAGTTAAAAATATTTCCACCGTGGTTTACAAAAATGATCCATAATGCTTTACAGAAGTGACCCAAATAAAATGTTTTCCGCAGGCCATTTGTTCCATTGTGAGATAATTAGTAGTAGTAGAGATGGAACAAGCTTTTTACTTCATCTGCATGACATTAGACAACCCTCCACGTCTGTCTTTGTGGAGATGATCTACCTCATCTGAAACCCATAAAGATATGTCTCAGGTGGAGAGTTCAAGACTCATATCCAATTGGCAGATCTACACTACCCTAGGATCTACACATCTAAACTGATTTATGTGGGTTTTTTTTTACCAACTACTAGAGAAAATTGTGTTACCAACCAAATCGTCTTTGTACTTGATATTCTGTCAAATATGAGGATCAGTGTATGAAATCAAATCTATTCAATAATTTGGATGAATGATCTCATATTTCATCTAACTGTGTGCTTAAATGCTTGGAGTATAAAGGAAAGAGATACAGTACCTCACATGCTCTTTAGCAGAGTGAACATCCGTTTTAATTTAAATCAATTAACAAAACCTTAGAGCCATTTCTTGTTTCCATTGGGCATAGTTTTCTCCAAATCATCAAAATCTGTTCTTCATTTCTCTTCCATCAAACTGTCACTTGCATTGATTGCTCCAAATCCAATGTTGTGTTATTAAACATATTCACTTGCAGTGTTTTGCTCAGCTGATTTTGTGTGGCTGGGGTAGATATTTCCACGGTCTTTCATTTGGGGTGGTTGCACACCAATGATAGGATTCCTTCAGTTTCTTAATAGCTCTGTTTATTGCATAATCAGCATTCTAGATGCATGAGCCTGGTAGAATACAGGCCCCGTCTTCTATGAGAAGGAAAGGTTTTAGAGCAGGGGTGGGGAACTATGGCCCTTGCTGTGTCAGGAATTCTGGGACACAAGTCCAAAAGTCATAAAGGGCCTATGGTTCCCTACCTCTGCTTTAGAGCAGGGGTCTCCAACCTTAGCAACTTTAAGACTGGTGGACTTCAACTCCCAGAATTCCTCAGCCAGCTTTGCTTAGCCACAAGTCTTAAAGTTGCCACGGTTGGAGACCCCTGCTTTAGAGCACGCCTGTGTGTTTGCATAAAACCTTCACGCCTACGGAACTCTGGATTAGAGTAACCATATGAAAGCAAGGCAGTCAGGTTGCAGCTCTGATCTAATAATATGGGCCTTCCCCAAGAAACATATGCAACCCTACCCTTTCTGATCTTGGTTCTGGGGATTTTCTGATTCTCTGTGCCTGATTTGCCACCAGAACTTTGGGCCATATCTTAGTCATTTTGGATATATGTCTCTGAAAACGCCTCTGGGACCAAAACTGTGGTTTCCCCATCAGCAAACGTTTCTTTCTTGTTATTACTTTAGGTCATGGAGCTCTATGGAACCTTTCTGTACCAGCGATGGAAGCTTCTTGACGTTATCCACAATGGAATCCATTACTTGAGACTTTTCTCAATGCCTTGTGGAAAAACCATGACTTCTTGGTTGTAACCAATCTACCCGCCCCTTATGGCCTCCTTTTTAAATGTCATGGCCAGGTTCATATATTCTGGGGGGCGAAAGGGGGGGATTGAAGCCTGGTTTTTGCAGCAAATACTATTGAAAAAAGAAAAACTGTACATTCCAGTGGAAGCATTAGCATTGTTTAGATGGATGCTATTAATTTTCCATGGTCACATTAGCAATAATAACTTGCTAGAAACCCTTCGGAAAAGTGATTGCTTTGGTTCCCAAATATCCACAACTGATTAGCAAACTATGAGTGGCTTTGCTAAACTGGGAAACGGTATTCTTCTATTCTTCTCCACAAGATGCATAGATCTTCCTTCATAAATTGACTTAGCTAATTCTGAAAGATTTTGAACATGCATACTCTGGAGAGAGAGAGAGAGAGAGAGAGACAGAGAGTGAAGTTCCCTGAGGATGGACTCCAGCGTAAGCCCGAAAACTTGGAAGGATAAACCTCTGGTCCGACTCAGATTGGATCCTGCAACATTATCTTGGGACACATATATTTACTTTCATTTGCGAGGGGGAGGAAGCTGTTAAATAAATTAGCTTTATTTCTGGACATTCTTGATTCAAATTTGGGGGAAAGGATGCCTTTTGGAGGCATTACTTTTCTCCTTCTCCACTCCTCCCTTCCCAACCATTTATTTAGTCATCTTACACTCTTGTTGAGAGCACTTAAGAATTCTCCCTGATTTTGCAGGGGCGGCAAAAAGGAAAAAAAAGATGCAGCCACACCTGTATATAATTTGTGTCAAATGAAGAGCATGCTGTTCAGGACAATAAATGAGATGATGGCCTTTAGCCAAAAGAAATTGCGTCTGTGAATTCTTGATCTCAATCAACTAGGGCTTGGTGGGCCACAAAAGGACCATTGGAAGGATTCGCTCCCACATTTTTCACATGAGATGAAAAAGTTCAGCATTTGCTGTTCCGGTTCTGCCCTCTGTGGCTGGCAGAGAACCCATCATAAATGATCTGGGGGAGGGGGCGGGATTTTTCTTTTATGCCAACAATTTCACAATTTCAGAATGCTTCTCAGGGTCCCTGCGGATCAGTTACAACAGGGGTGGGCAAACTATGGCCCGGGGGCCACATCCGGCCCGTTGATCTTTTTAATCCGGCCCACCCAAGATTGGTACAGAATTAAGGTTTGATGTGAATGATTGAATGATTGCATTCATTTGATTTTCACTTGTAATGACAGGCATTTCGACACCAGGTGGCGGCCCGTCTGTCAAATTTTAAAAGTCAATGAGATCCCCAAGCCAAAATGTTTGCCCACCCCTGAGTTACAAGGTTATCTTGCCCTCCCCATGATTTGGGGTGCAGTTGCCCAAATGGCAGGCCCATTGCTTTTAAAATGGAGCAATTACCTGACACTTCCACTGTGTAAACTCTCTGAACTGGATATATACTTGCATATCTTTTAGGAATGCCAGTTCCTTTTATTTATATTTTAATGCTGATATTTTTTGCCCCGTTACGAGCCAACAGATTGATTCAATACGTCGGTTTTCAAACCAGAGAACTTTAAGATGTGTGGACTTCAATTCCCAGAATTCCCTAGCCACCCATGCCGGCTGGGGAATTCTGGGAGTTGAAAAATCTACACTTTGTAAAGTTCCCAAGTTTGAGAAACACTGCTGTGTGTTAGTACGTTAGACAAAACAGAGCTTTTCAGGGAAATGCACTTCACAATCAGCAGCCAGCACTTATTGTGCATGTTTAATGTGTTCCCCTTATTCCGAATATCATTTACTCCCTTTATTTCTATCCTGCCTTTCTAACCCCGAGTTCTCATTTAAAGGAGCATCATTTCGTCACTGTCATAGATCCATAGATCACTCATATCCATCCTTTCCATTCTGGTTTGTCTTCTGCCCCCTTTCCCCACCAAAACTATCCCCACAATGAATTGTGAAAGGATCCAAAATTTCAAAAACGATCAAAACTCCAAGCATTTATTTAAATCCACGTCATCGTGCAATTAATGTTTCTGCTTTGGTTTTGTATGACGTTAGAATTTAACTCTTTTTCTTCGCAGATGTACAATTACTGGAACTGACTTCCGTGTGTTTTTTGTTTTGTTTTTTTAAATTCCCATTTCTTTCTCGTCCCTCCTCAGTGTGTGTAAGGGTGCTGAAGAAGCATGCATTTAAACAAATTCAGGAAGAGTTTAAGACTCCATCTATCCAAGCCGGGTATCAGTTTCTAACTAAGGGGCAAAAGTAACAACCGAGTGAAGACCTATTGTTTGTTCTATGACCAGCAATTCGGGTCAAATGGAAGGAAAGCAAATGTATTATACGTCGGATCACCATTAAGTTTCGTCCTTTCTTTCTCTGAATGTTTTGTGTATTTCAGTAAACTCATATTTACTTCTAGGTTGAGGATTAGGCCAAAAATACATTGCAGAACAGGAAAAAGAAAACGCAGGAAACTCCTGTGAAATGAATGAATGACCGCAGATAAAGCAATAACAATTGAAATAAGCCAAGGAAGGAAGACGATTTTTCTTCATTATGTTTTGGGGGGGACATTGGGATAAATTCTTTTGAGAGTCTGCAGAACACGAAAAGAAAGCCATTTTCCTTTCCATCGAGACCAATAAACTTCATGGACGTGGTCATGTGACTTTCTTGGCAGCTATACCGAAAAGGATTGTCACATTTTGTGGAATGGCTTTCAGCTTCCCAGTTGAGGGTCTTGCTCTGGCAACACTCATTTAGTATTTTGCTCCACAGCTTTCCACCGAGTTGCAGAATCCCCTATTCCAAACAAAGACGCCATTGATGTTGTGTTCGGTCTTGGTCCTGGGTGAACAGAGTGGAGCATCTGACCCCTAAAGCCCGGTGGGGTAAAGGATTTGGAGCAGAAGGAGCTCAGTCCTTGATAGGGATGGCGTTGAAGAACTCAAAGGGCATCAGATCTGGGTTGGTCTCAGGAATTTCTACGTCAGTTGCAGGATGAGATGTTAAGGAGCACGGAAACCCGTCTTCTGCTATGCTCACTGAAAATGAAGCAAGCCCCATTTTTCTTTCCACCATAGGATGGTCCAGGTTTCATCCCCCCTCTCCCCCCCCACAAATTTCCAGTGAAGCATGGCACCATATGACACAAAAGAGTTGGCGATATGGCTGTTTAAAAGAAATAATTTAGGGTTGGCTTCTATCCTCCCATTCAGTCACCATAGGTACACAAAACCCACGTTACAAATCACTTATTTAATCACTTATTTCTTTATGATCCAATAGACAGTGATGCCTCTTCAAATTCAGTCCATTGTCTTTGCAACTAAAAAAAACCAATTTCTCACCTGTGCCAGATTGGATTTTTCCACCACCCCCATATGAACTTAAACTACAGTAAAGGAGATTGCAGTGCAGGAATTTCCTGATGGGAAGAACTGCTAACCAATTATTTGTCCAAAAGGCTTTAGCAGGATTCCTGCACCACATAAGGCACTGAATCAAATTATCTTAGTTATCCCTTCCAACTCCATACTTCTGTTATTTTATTCCTGTATGTCCTATTAAGAAAGGTGGTGCCATTAGACGGTTTTATTAGTTTGGGACGTTTAACTAAAGACAGGTATGGAAGCACAGCTGAACGTGTATAAAAACTCGCTCAGTAAATCAATCACACTCAGGGAAAACAGATGCATTTTAGATTGCTAAACATTGACCAGCATTCCAAAGAACATAAATGTACCCCCCCTTTTTTTTTTTTAGTTTGAACTTCTCTCAGGATAAAAGGAATTCGTATTTTGTTCGAAAATGATGTCTGGATTTTCTGTATTTTTTTAATAAGTGATCAGAGACTAGTGTAAAACTTCAAAGTTCAGTCATAATTCGTCACTCCAATACTGGGTTTCTATGTATGGAAAATAGGAGGAGTGTTAATGTATGTTCGCTGCCTTGAATTACTTCTAAAGTAATAAAGGCAGACCAAAAAATGTAACAAAAATGGAGTTACAACCAGTGATGGGGCAGATTTGATACATCGACAAATCAGGTAGTCCTTGACTTACAATGACAACTGAGCCCAACATTTCTGTTGTTAAGTGAGATATTAAGTGAGTTTTGTCCCATTTTGTGACCTTTCTTGCCAGTTGTTAAGTGAATCACTACAGTTGATAAGTTAGTAGCCTGGTTGTTAAGTAAATCTGGCTTCCCCATTGACTTTGCATGTCAAAAGGTTGCAAAAGATGAGCCCATGATCACATGATACAGCAATGGTCATAAGTAGAAACCAGCTGTCAAGCGTCTGGATTTTAATCATACGATCATGGGGAGGCTACAAAGTTTGTAACTCTGACAAATGGTCGCAAGTCACTTTTTTTTTTAGCACCGTTGTAACTTTGAACAGTCACTAAATGAACTGTTGTAAGTCGAGGATTACCTGTACATATATTTTGTTTTTAAGTATTACATTTCTTGTTCAATTTTGTTCATAGGGTTGTTGTCAAGATTGCTTTCTTGGGTGCTAAGAATTGTGTTTATTTCTGTGATTATTATTGGCTACATAACATGGGTTACTGTCTAAAAAAATTGAGATTAGTTCAACTGCTTGATGTGGTCTTCTGTAGGCACAGATGAACTGTCTACCAGCAATCTTGAGTATGCCTCAAGCTAAACCATAACATGCTGGTTTGGCTGAACAAGACACAGTTGTAACCATACTGTGGCTACGCACTTAATGCTCTTAAGTCAGGAGTGTCCGGCTTTGGCTGTTTTTTAGACTTGTGGATTTCAACTCCCAAAATTCCCTAGCCAGCCATTCTGTCATTCCACAAGTCTTTAAAAGATGTCAAGGTTGGACACTCCTGTTCTAAGCCAGGGGTCTCCAACCTTA